CGTTTCAATCTGAATAATTCTTGCATTAACAAACAATATTGTTTTTCCAATCTGAATAATGCTTGCATAATTCATTCTTGAAATATAATAAGAGCTTTCTATTTATTGGACTCTATCGTTTTCTTAAAATAAGAACATCTTTAACATTTAAATAAATAAAAAAACTCAAATAAAGAAAATATATAACTATGAGAATTCAGTGCATGCTTAATTTAATAGCATTTCCTTACCAACTATTTAAATATTGATGCCAGATGTATGGTGAGAAAGCTGTGTTTGTAGCAGCCTCTGAGGACCCATACATTCATTGTATTTGTGCCTGTTGCCATCTGCCACGCCTCTCTCTCTTTTTCCATGGATGTAGATTTTTCTTCTAAGTACATGATACACGTCATACCACTGCCGTCCATTACTTAGATTGCCTTCTTTCTTCTTTCCTTTTTTTATTGAGCAAATCTATTGACTTGTATTAAGCTCAGCTTTTGTTGTTGAGTGTGCTTTCAATCTTCACACTTACAATTGCTATCATTGCAGATCTCTAGTGGTCTAATAGATTTTCTTATTTGGGTTTGTTACAGTTTGGCGTTGTTGTGCTATGAAAATAATCGCTGTTAAATTTGCTGTGAGAGAAAGTAGTTTGGCATTTGGTAAACTTTTTGTTAAAAGTGTTGTTGATACTGATTCTTGCATAGTCAGAAAATTGAAGCACCTCATTAGCTGCTTTCCCTTATAGCTTTCTCTCACAACAATTTTTTAACAATAAGTGATTTTCTCATAGTTTACCAAACATGTTGAGCTTCTCAAAATTAAAAAAAAAAATCATTTTTCACCCCAAATAAGCAATGCCAAAACATGCACTAAATAGAAGACTCCTTTTATTTCAAACAAAAAGCACGCGTGACTCGTGAGCCTCTTCACCTTGCGAAGAATTTTGTATATTTGTTTGAATTATCTGGTACCTTATTTTTGGAATTTAGCTCGTAAGTCAAAATGAGTGATGCAAATTGATTTCAACTTCAAAACGTACAAAGAAGTAGATAACATGCCACCCAACCCATGCCATATCCTTGAATTTCAATACCTTTAGAAAAGACAACCACTTTTCCTAAATGTGAAATTTAATTACCTTTAGATCCGGCGTTTTATGTGTTGTACCAAAAGCCTAAGAATCCAAGGATCTCTTCCTTGAGATTAAATAAGTTTAATTTTGTTAAGCGATGTGACTTAAGAGTTTGGATTGAAAAGAAGTTTAGACAATTTCTCTTAGTTTTACGATTTTTTAATTATTTTTCTTGTTAGTATGACTTATTTATCTGTATATATAAAGGCAAATGCAAAAAATTGTGAAACATTTAAAATACCGCAAAATGTCCTTAGTTAATAAAAATATTAACAAATGAAATTGTTCATTAAATAAGGATAATATATTAAATAAAAATAAAATAAAAATGCAAAATAAAAAATATGTTCTATTTTTATGAAACACAACTAGACTTATTTTTCTATTCTTAATTTCAAAATTATAAATAAATAAATAAACCAATTGAGTCAAGGGCTATAATGGCCAAAGCCATAACAACTTTATTTTGCTATGTAGCCCTAAAGTTCACATGTATAATTCATGAGATAAACTTTTTGAAAAATAAATTTTAATAAATATTATTATTTACCAAAACAAGAATGGATAAGCTTTTCTCTTTTGTTTTTGGCCATTAGGGAAAATCTATGCACAACTACAAAAGGCCGCATAAACACAAAAGACCAAAAGGAGTAAAAGACATGCGACGACTTGAGTAACGTCACGTCTCTCGTCTAAACCAAAATTAGAAAAGCAAAAAAAGTGACGCCCCCAATTTCAAATAATTAAGAGCCATGACACTGTCCAAGTCCTTTCGTCGAGCTTTTTTGTCAAGCTTTTTTTATGGAGACTTGGGGACTCATGGTTCCGATACGAGACTTACCAAAAAAATTTATTTTATAATTTAATATTGCCAAATTGGCCAAACTATTGAAAATGCAACTTCCCATACAAAAAACATGTAATGACAACAACATACCTTACTATCCAAAAATCATTCACATTGTATTTGTTATGTTTATTTGAAGAATTAAAACTATTACAAGAGGCTTTTCCCCAAAATTAAAAAAACTATCATTCACAGCGGGTAGAATGACTTCAATGAGACTCAACACGAACCCTTCTATTAAGGGATATGCGCTGCAAAGCTAGCTCCACCACACACACATTTGTGATAATATGCTGCACACTAAAGTATATATACCATTCCTATAATATAAAGGAATTTTTTTTGGTGGCCCTCAAAAATCAAGGGCCCTGTGTAGTGTCGCCACTTGCACTACCCTAGGGTCGCCCCTAGACGTGAGGAATTTCTGTTTGTGAGGTAAAATACCTCTAGGCCAAGTCGGGCCAAGGCACAGATGCTTGAGTTGAGCTCGGATCCTGGTGGTTGGGTTGAGCTGATTACCATATATTTTTTCACCTTGACTCTGGTAGGGTTGTAAGCACATTGATCCATGAGCTTGGGTCATGTGGGTGAGACTGACATTAGCATAATTTACGTGCTGTTCACCAAGAGTACTTATAATCCTAGAGAAACTAGGACGCTTCAAGTTGTGGGTGAGATTGACATCAGCCTAATTTACGTTGTGTTCACCAAGAGGACTTATAATCCTAGAGAAACTAGGACACTTCAAGTTCACCAAGACGCCTATCTAAATGGAGTCCTAGTTCAATGAGGACTGGGTTGTTTTGGAGTCTTAGTTCCAGAAGGACTAGGTAATTCTAAAGTTCTACTATGAGAAGGACTAGGTCGTCTAAGATGATATAAAAAGCTGAAGAGACCCTTCTTCAAAGGTATGCAATTCTAAGCACCAAAATATATTGTGCACTTTGCTTTCAAACACTTGATTGACTTAAACATCAGAGGGTCCTTAGTCGGCATCACACTGGTGCCACCCATCATTAGGTCTTCTATTTTGTAGGTTCTGTAGGACGACTTGGTTGGTCACGCTGACCTGCTTTGGACGAATTGCCCGACCTCGACTTGCTGTTGAATCAAGTTTAGGGATCAAGAAACATTATAATTTTATGTCAATGCCCAAAAGTGTTGGTCTCCGTTAATGGTTTGCGAAATCATATTAGAGTATGTGGGACTTTGAGTCTTTGTCTCATTGAAATTTTGTCGCTCCAATAAATTGAGAAAAATTTACCTATTGTATGGTTAGTCATGTGATAAGAGAAATACAAAGAGAGACGTGTGTACAACATGTTATATTCCAACTCAAAAAGAATAAAATTACTATTAGTGCAATAATTGTGCATTTGGTTTAGGGTTTAGAAATCTACTATTACAAGAAAAAGGAAAGAGAAAAAAAGAAGTTAAGAAATTATTTTCTCTTCTCAGTAATGCTACGAGCATCAACTAATATATCAACTTATTGATACCAAATGATGAAATGCTATTACGCTAAAGTGTCTTCTTTTTTCCTTTTTTTTTTTTTTTGGTGTGGAAGATTTAAAGGTGTGAATATGTCCTTATCCAAACTTAATGCTACGTGAGAGCTTAATGAAGGCTCAAACTCAAGATCAAAAGTAAGTGAAGATTTTTGTTATGTATAACGATACATAGATGTTCCCTATCCATCCATGCATCCATCCATCCACCCATATCCAAAACACCCAAAATGGCCCACAGGGCACGGAAGTCACTCTTCCTCCCACGCGCTCCCCACAGCGCCTAGTATACTCGCCTCATACCCATAAACATACATCGTATTCACGTGGGTCTCCCCCACTAAACGACGACGCTTCCCCTCACCAGCAGCCATTAACTCCTCCTCCCTCCCCCAATCTTCCATCCACAGTTCCAAAAATCTCACTCCTCTCTCTCTCTCTCTCTAAACACACAGAGCAACACTAAACAATCAAACGACTTGTCATAACCCGCCATGACCACCGCCACCACAATCAACGACTTGCCGGACGCCATACTCTCGACCATAATCGGGTTGGTATCCGACACCCGAACCCGGAACTCCCTCTCCCTCGCGTGCCGCAAATTCCGGAGCACTGAGAGGGCCACGCGCACCTCCCTCGCACTCCGGGGAAACGCGCGCGACCTCCCCGACCTCCCGCTCTGCTTCGCCGCCGTCACCCACCTCGACCTCTCCCTCCTCTCTCCGTGGGGCCACTCTCTGCTCTCCCCCTCCGCCGCCGCCAACGACACCGACCCCCTCCTCCTGGCCCAACGCCTACGTGCCGCCTTTCCATTCGTCGACTCCCTCATCGTCTACTCCCGATCTCCCTCCACCATCCAGATCGTCTCCCATCTGTGGCCCGGATTGCGCCACGTCAAGCTTGTCCGATGGCATCAACGGCCACAATCGCCCCTCGGCGCCGACTTCGATCCTCTCTTCGACCAATGCCACTCGCTCTCCGAGCTCGACCTGTCGGAATTCTACTACTGGACGGAGGACCTCCCGCCGGTCCTCGAGGCCTACCCGAACGTGGCCCGATCTCTCACCAAGCTGGATCTCCTGACGACCTCGTTTACCGAGGGGTTCAGAGCGAACGAGATTAAATCCATCGTCACCGCCTGCCCGAAGCTCCAGCATCTCCTCATCGCGTGTATGTTCGATCCCCGATACATAGGCTTCGTCGGCGAGGAGGCTCTGCTGTCGATCTCCGCTAACTGCCCGGAGCTCAAAGTCGTCCATTTGATCGATACGTCATCGTTGGCCAACGCCCGCGGCGATCCAAACGACGACGGATTTACGTCGGAGGACGCGCGGATTGGGCGCGCGGCTTTGGTTCCGCTGTTGGAGGAGCTGGCGTTGGATGTGTGCAAGAACGTGAGAGACAGTGGGTTGGCGTTGGAAGTGCTTGGGTCTAAGTGTCCCAGGCTGAGGGCGCTCAAGCTTGGGCAGTTTCATGGGATTTGCACTGCGATTGGGTCCGAGCTAGACGGCATTGCGTTGTGTTCAGGGCTGGAGTCTTTGTCGATCAAGAACTCGGCTGATTTGACGGATATGGGGTTGATTGAGATCGCTAGAGGGTGCTGCAAATTGGCCAAGTTTGAGGTTCAGGGATGTAAGAGAATCACAGTGAAGGGGCTGAGGACGATGGCTTGCTTGTTAAGGAAGACTCTGGTTGATGTTGGGATCTCTTGCTGCAAGAACTTGGATGCTGCTGCTTCTTTGCGGGCTTTGGAGCCGATTCGTGATCGGATTCAAAGGCTCCACATTGATTGCGTTTGGGAGCAGGAGGATGATCATGCCCCCAATTTTGATATCAATCAAGTGAATGATGATGAGGATGAGGATGTTAATAGTGAAGCCAGTGTGTTGAATCGGAATGGGGAGGATGGTGATTACATGGACTTGAATTGGGCGGCTGAGTATGAGCACAGAAGCAGCAAGAAATGCAAGTTGGGGTTGGATGGAGACTGTTCCTATATGCCACCAAGCAATGGATATGGCTATGGCAATGGAAATGGGTTTTGGGGTGGTGAGAGCTGGGAGAGGCTGCATTATCTTTCGCTTTGGATTGGGGTTGGTGAGCCGCTGACTCCGTTGCCAACGGCTGGTCTCGATGATTGTCCCAATCTGGAGGAGATTCAGATCCGGGTAGAAGGGGATTGCAGGGGAAGGCACAGACCCACACGGCGAGATTTTGGGTTGACCTGCCTCGCCGGCTATCCTCTGCTGTCCAAGATGAAGTTGGATTGTGGTGATACAGTTGGCTATGCACTTACTGCACCCCCCGGGCAGATGGACCTGAGTCTTTGGGAGAGGTTCTTCCTGAGTGGGATTGAAAGCTTGAGCCTCAGTGAACTCGATTACTGGCCCCCGCAGGACCGGGACGTAAACCAGAGGAGTCTTTGGCTTCCGGCTGCCGGGTTGCTGGCAGAATGCCTGACATTGCGGAAGCTTTTCATCCATGGCACGGCACATGAGCATTTCATGATGTTCCTTGTGAGAATTCCAAACTTGAACCGCAACTTGAGGGATGTGCAGCTGAGGGAGGATTACTATCCGGCACCAGAAAACGAAATGAGTACAGAGATGAGGGTGGATTCGTGCCGTCGCTTTGAAGAAGCACTCAACAGGCGGCCTATCCTTGACTGAAGATGAAACTAATGTGATAAAAAAAAATAGTTGTAAGAGGAATGTAAGAGTTCTGAACATCTTGTTCGTGCCTGTTTTGTCATTTTGAATTTTCCATCAAATAATACTTTCCTTTGTCGTCGTTTTTCCTGCTGTTTATGGTTGCAGATAACAGAAGTAACAAGAATAAAAGCCAAAATCCAAGCTTGTCAACAAACTAATTTGTTTTTTGATTGCATAAAAAAGCTGAGTCGCAGCAACATTGGAGGAAGATGCAAAACGGAGGACATAAAAAGGAAAAAAAAACCAAATTTATGATTTTACAATGATTGAGAAATTGACAGCAGAATACAACCTTGAGCCGAGAATACAATGTAACACCTCTACCATGTTTTCTATACACAAGAAACAAAGATTGTATCAGCAAAGTGAGTATTCGCAGTCTAACAAGCGGGAGAGTATCTCCTCACAGCTTGGCCGATCATCCGGTTCTGTCCAACAATCTGTAATAAAACCCAAAACAAAGGCAAACGTGTCAGCTTGGGAAGCCTGATAATGCATGAAAAATCATGAAAAAATGTATCTACTTCTTCACATTTTCATTAAGCTTAAGCAACTGCTCACCCGAAATAAGCCTGCCCAGTGGACCGTCCGGAATTTCCAATCGGGAACCCTCATTGGCAACAACATAAACTACCTGCATAAAAGAAAAGCTAAGAATTCAGTTATAGCCATCTTAAAATGCTAGATGGTTGGATTCTACAAGGTACATATTCAGAACAAGAATGAAACGTTCCATATAAAATAAAAACAAATGATGTATACCCTCTCCGGTGGAATGCCTTCCCACGGTCTATTTAGAGTGCAGAGCTCCCACATTATCACCCCAAGGCTGAAAATATCACATTTTTCGGTGAAGGGTTCATTTCGAATAAGTTCAGGTGCCATCCATTCCGGAGTTCCGGCAGACGAGGAGTCCTTCATGTTTGTCTCGTTCATTATTCTTGAGAGCCCAAAATCACAGATCTTGACAGTCCAATGCTTATTCACGAGACAGTTTGCACTTTTTAAATCGCGGTGAACTATCTTCATCCGGTGCATGCACATCAACCCCCTTTAGTTGCAAATAAAAGATTCCAGTCACTACTTATCTATACCACTCATAAAATAAAAATATAATAATAAATTGAGCAAATTTATCAAATGCTTTCACTTGAAAGTACAAGAGCCATGTGCATAATTATAATGATCATATATACAGATGCATGTTTAAATTATATGGAAATCTCACGAAATGCCAAATTCTCTTAGCAAATATTACAGTCATGCTTTGAAATATGCCACTGGAGTTCATCCTATGGCAGTATCTTATACAGAATCTTCTATTTTTGTCAAATTCTAAGAAGTTTCATGCAAATAGAGATGATAAAAGATCAAATTGTTTTGTGCTACTTTGTTAAACGTTTGGAGAAAAAAATTCCAGTCCCCTAAAAGAGAAGTAAAGAAACATTTCAAGCATTAGCCAAAGCAACATCTGATACCTTAATCAGACTGATAACATGTTAGATAATGCCTAAGAAACTGTCAATTAGGTGCCTTAGAAAGATATAGAGCTAACGTTGTACATCTTTTAGCAGCTAGTACGTCTGAATTTAGGTATTGAAAGCCAAAGATAAGTGGAAACACACGTCAGTTTGTTTTTCAAGATTCAGATAATTTTGTTCTTATTATGTTTTAACGATTTCAAGATTCAGATAATAATAATGGTGTTTTTCCTCTTTCCAGAATAAACACAGATATTAGATCTACAAACAGTCACCTCTAAAAAAAGTGATTGTTGAAAAGATATTCAATTCAAAGCAGTCAAGAACAAATAACAGGCAGGCCTGAGAGTGACTATAGATAGATCCACCTTCTATAAGAAATGACAAAGGTTAGCACTAAATCAACCTGAACCCTTGAGCTTCCCATTTAGGTTAGGTACATAAAATCTTATTTCTAATCTCTTCTAACCATTTACTTAAAGCTCTTACATTTTCCCCTAACCAACCAGTAATCATCATGATCCCTCTTTCAAACAGACACTGCACCAAGTTAGGCCCCCATCATGCATTAACAGCTAGGTTTCACAGCACATGACCATAGAGCAGATGGAAACTCATGTTGTCTTGCCACCTGTTTTACTACCAGCAAGTGCTAAATATGCATTCAGCCATAATTGACTCTCCTATTCAACTGCTCATCTACGTCATTGTCTCATTTTCAATTTCAGTATATTTGGTACTACTAACTTCCAAGCGTGCATTTCACATAACCAGCACTTTGAATGTAGCATGGATGGTGTCATAGTAGTTATATGGAATTTATTGCAATATGACTGGTACATGTTGATCACAATACGTTGAAAGCTTCGTGCTATTGCAATCTTAAAAGATCCATAATGAATTCTTCCATGCAGCCAAAAATAACTCAGATAAATTTATGCCCTATAAAGGTGTGAAATTGACTGGATTTTAGGAGTATTCTTGGAACAGAATGCATATTAGTAGAAGCCAAATGGTTTGATAAATATCCATAGGCAGAGTGAACAGACCTGCATATGTCACGCAACATTTTTAGTCTCTTTCGCCAGCTAAGCTTCTTCTTCTGGCCACTTAAATGAATCAAATAATACAAGGATCCCATCTCCATGTATTCTGTAACCATTGATAAGTGTGGAGGCTTTGTGCATGCACCTAGAAATAAAATAACTGCAGACAACGGCAATTTTGTATCAGTGTGGATCTAATATCTACTATATGACCATCTTATACAACAATCATAGATAAATGAAAATGGAACGCATAAATAACTAGAACAGAAAGTACCATTTGGATGCCGAAGACGGCTGGAAACCCACATACAAAAGAAAATGAAAAAAAAAAAAGCACATTAGAAAATTATATCATCAATCAAGTTAAAAAAAAACCTTGCAGCAAAGTGCCGTAAACACAATACAAAAACCAAGTTATCTTTGAGAAATTACCTAAGAATGGATATCTCATTGCAGAAGTCTTCCATGTTTTCAGTAGTTAGATCTTGCTCTAAGAAAACCTTTATTGCAACATCTGTTCCATTCCAAACACCTCGAAAGACTTCTCCAAAGAACCCTAAATATGGAATGAACAACCAAAATTAGCACAATAAGTTAAAACTGTTCTTTTTAAAAAAAAAATTATAACTGAAAATTTACTCTTCCTAAAAAAAGTTGAGCTTCTTTGTATATTCATTTTTTTTTTCTGGTGGGAGTTTTGATCACAAAATCTTACACATCTCAAGGATAAAATGGACATGTGGCATGTAAAAAACCAGCCTGAAGTTTCAGAGGCGTTCTCAGGCAATTACCATTGGTCTAAATGGGCATACAAAACTCTAGAAGAGGACCAGAACTATTACTTTTTGTCAGACCTATCTTGTATTCTCCTAACTTATTCTCCTAATTGTCCACATTAGGAATAAATACTTATATCTCTTTACTAACCTGGTCCACACTTCTCAAGCCAACAATATAGTGATAGTGAAGTATTCTATGTATGATATAGAAGTGATTCTTACCAATTCCAACACGAGTTCCAACAGTCAATTCTGAGAAATCAATATTCCATTCCTGATAAGGCAATAGAGGTTTATTACCACACGTGGCGGACTCAAGAATTCTGTTCCATGTTAAGACCAATTCATCATTTCTCGTGAATTCAGATGGTCCAATTCTCTCAGACGTTTGACTCCTATATTGATGTGGTGATGAAGGTAACGATATTGCTTTTTGAGAACTGATTTGGTCCTGGGGAAACAAACATAAAGCAGTCTTCAATCATAAGCTGACATTGTAAGCTTCATAATAAATTTCTTAAATAAAAACTAACAATGTTCTAATGACTCTTCCTAAATCTCTTAAAGAGTACAAGGACAATTGAAAAACAAAAAACAAAAAAAATGAAATAAGCACAAAATTGTTAATATCTGATGAGCGAAAATCATCTATCCAACCTGCAAAGTGGAATTTAATGACACAAGATCAATGAAAATGGCAATTTTAGAATGAAAATTAGAATGATCTTGTAACAGTGGAATTTAACTAATTTTTGTTGCCTATCGTATGTAATTCTCGCATTCACCTAGGGTTGGGAGGGTAGTCAACCAAAGTTGTTAGTCAGATAATTCTTATTTTCAGTAACAGTCCATTTCATATTTTCTCTGGTTTATATTCATTATCAATTTTTTTTCTTATCTCATCACCAAGTTTACATTGAATTAATGTTACACCTGTTATAAATTGCAAGCACGTTTCCCCATAAGGTTGATCAGGCATGTATTAATTTTGTTCCCTTTAGGCTTTAAGCTATATTCATTAGTTTAATAACCAACAGTAGACAGGGAAATGAGACTAGAACACTAATCACAAAAGGGGATATTATATACATTAATGAGATAAACATCCAGGAGTACTTGTGCACTGGATGTGGAGGTAATGTAAAAGTTCACAAGTAGGTTACGTATGAGTAGAAGGGATCACAATGCAAGACACTGCAACTGAATTTGTTGGATGCAAGATCAAACTCAGTCAGAAATGCCAAGCATCTAATGACTGAGAAACAAGCGGTCATTCTAATATGTATATATCCTTCTCCTATGCGGACGCCATTGTAAACAGGGAGGAAAGCAGGGAGTAGTCGAAAATACATGGCGTCCGCATGGTAATAACGTCCGGACATTTGCATTGAAATTTAATGATCTAAACTGTCTATTTTATAGGTATTCCTACTACTCCTTGCTTTCCTCTTTGTTTACAATGGCATCCGCACGGTAATAACGTTCGGACATCTGCATTGAAAATGATCTGAACGGTCTATTTTATAGGTATTCCTTCAAAGATCATCTCTGCAAAAAATCACTTGAGTTCAAAATCATTTGACTACTCAATTAATGGTTGTTATTTTAGTGTTTTCTTGAAGCACCGTGTTTGTCTATTTTGTTGGTCAAACTAAATGTCTTCATTGTTTTTTATTTGGCTAATTTTTTACAAGGATGATCTATGAATGAAGACTTGAAAAATATACATGTGTGTGTGCACGTGCGTGTGTGAGAATAAAATTCCAAAATTAAAGGGTTTCATAATGACTATGTATATACAGAATTTTAAGCTACCTAAAAGCATAGTAAAGATGCTACAGAAACAAAACTAACAAACAAATGAACAAAAATTTATTTCATGCAGACGTGGTTCCACTACTGCAATAAAAACACGTACATTTTTCTGAAGACCAGAAGTAATGTTTCTGTCATCATCACCCTGCTCTCTCAAAAGACGATTTTGCTTCAATGTTTCATTCATCGCCCGTACAGCCCTAATATAGTTCAATAGATCTCCAGTTACTGATTATAGAAACATATCCAAAGATCTGATAAAATAAAACTTAAAAAGAATCAAGAAAACATAAGCCTTAAGAAAGAAAAAAGATTAGCACATCATATACCAAGTGTACAGAAACCTCAACAGTCCCAGCCAACTGAAGTAGTCAACTCACCATTCAGACAATATTCTTTTTAGTTCAACAATTAACCCAAGTGAAAAACTGAAAATACAAACAAGCGCAAACTAGCCTAACTAATATGGTCCAGGGGTTGTACTGGTTTGAAAATATCCATCGGATTCTGGCATTATTCTCTATCCAGAGCTTATGAATGTCTCCATGTGAACACATACATTAGAGGCCAAATTGGCTAGATATCAGGTTTACAAGGAACTTGGCTTAAGAATGAAATTTGGCCACTGACTAGTCCATATTGGTTAAGCAGCACATAAGTGTACTAGTTCTGGAATCATATCACTTCAAGGTTTTGTAAATAATCTTCATGATAGATTTCGAGGTTTTGTAAATAACCTTCATGATAAAAAAAAAATTCTTTTGATAGGAAATGAGAAATTTGTAGAAAGAGAAAAATAATGTATAAATGGGAACGGAAGTTCAAACTACAAGCAAAGTCATACTAAACCTAACTAACAATATGATTTCAACCACAAAAAAAAAACCTAACTAACCAGAGAAAAACAAGCACCACTTAGTACAAAATACCAGACCAGCGAAAATGGATCACCCTAAAGAGTACATATAAAACAAGCTAACTAAATTTCACTATAAAATAGGTGAAGAAAAAGTAGGCATGCTTGCTGTGGAGCTGCAATTGATTTGCTACCATTTAGCTCTAGGTACTCTAAATTTTGCATCATTATCCCAAAATTTCTTTTAGTTAATCCATGTTAGATAATTGTCAATCCCTCTTACTCACCATATTCAATCCATTTCTGTCAAGAGTACTAAAGACACCCCCTCCCCCCTCCCCAGTCTGTCTTTATATCACAGGACAAGATATAATTTGATACCACTGAGAAAACTTAAAACTATCCTCACCACAAAGGTCAAAAGCCCTTAAGCCTATTAAGGCTCTGTGACACAATTTTTTGTATTAGAAAACTATATATTCTTGACAGATTGATTCCCATGGCTGCACATGCTCCTAGAGATGAATCCACTAACACTAAGTGATATAATATACTAGATGAGGAAGCATGAACTATAAAATGAGATATTTTTTTTCAGGGAATAAAAATGAACCACATCATTTGCCTCATGGCAATTTCCCATGTGATGTAGGACACGGGTGAATTGTAGATTTAGGTAGTTTAGCGGAAGCAAAAACAATGGAAAACAGATATAGAAGGAACAAGGATAGGTCTGGAATCACTCCAGGGTTTTGGCTTTGCCCCAAGGGGTTTGGCTTCACACCAAAGAAGTCTCCAATCTCTGGAAAATAAACTTTTCTTTATATCTCAATAACTCCACTCTAAAGAACTACATGGAGGGTAGGGTATTTATAGCAAACTAAAACCTAGAGACAAAAGGTTAAAAATCCCTTACTAAAACAAAATCCTAATCCACCAAGGAACTAATTCAAATAAACTAGGAAACTTAAATCAAATCCTACTAGAATCTGGAAACTAAAATCCTTGTGAAATCTGGAAAACTAGAGAATCTATGAAACTAACTAATGATGTCCGCATCACAATGGCTCCTCACATGAGCAAACTATGATAGCAAAGCACTTCAGAGTGTCAGAGATCAATGCCCATTTTACTGGTCAATTAATGAAGCTGAGATTATTTTTTATTTCCAGCTCTGAGAACACTCTCGTTGGCTTTTGTCCTATTACAATTTCATTGAATCCTGGGACCTCTTTCTGATTTATACTTTCAACAAATACTTACCTCTAATATAAGAACATGCACTGCAAAGACATTGATCCAAACAATCAAAATCAAATGGAAGGTGCAAAGCACAAAAAATTCAAAAAGAAAAAGTTCATTAACCACAATTTTTTTTAAAAGTAACCAATAAGAATGAATTAATGCAAAAGTACATGGAGGAAAACATCAGTTTAACCACGATGGAGTAATGCTGTGAAATTAACGATTCATAATGAAGCAAACATTTCTCTTGAAAATAATGAAATAAACATCAACCTTACGATATCATCACCAATCTCTGGAGTAATACTAATGCTTCTTCTTCTTAATCTACGAGCTTCTGATGTTGATGTACCATCTGACCTGTAGCTACAATAAAGAATTGAAGACAAGTAGTTTCAGACCACAGAGATATAAGCTAAAACATCACATACAAGCTAAAACAAAATTAATAACACACAAAAGTACACAAATACAAAATTTCATCAGACAATAACATCAAACCTCTTAGGAATGAAACTAGCTCAGCACATTATACTTCTACATCAATTAGTTATCTCCAAATGATCTAAGTACGGTTGGTGAAGATTAAAGTTTGATGGTATTGAGTAGAAGAGACAATGAGTGGAATATAATAACATTTTAACAAGATAACACAGAAAATATAGCTAATGCATGTTGATAGAATGAAGTCCATTCCAATGTTTTTCACTTTTCATCTGCATAGAACTGAAACCCTCAAGTCACGGAGGGATCAATTTTGCATTCTCCCAGTCTTTCTCTGGCTAACTGAATGAACAAGGGATAGTTTTTGGGCCCCAAGCTTGGTTTGATTTAGTGATTATGTCATGTCAAGTAAGTGAACATGGTCAAAAACCACATAAAATTTCCCTGGGCATTGTCATTCCCAGGATACAACTCCATTCCCAATCTTGTAAACATGAAAATATTGAGGTCCTCAATACTGTTCGTTGGTTAAGGAATAAGACCTGAATTAATATCCATTGCCTCAGTACACAAGAAAATTGTGGATAATTCACTAAAGCATTCATCAAAGATTCAGTTTTCATATAGTGGGGTACAATAGGATCAATAGATATAAAACCTTGAGGTAGGCATGTCATCAGCATAATCTCTAAAAGATTTCCTATCACCACTGAGCATGGACCGCCCACGTGCTCGAAATGAAGGATGCTCTGGACTGAAAAACCAAAAAAGATAAAAAGAAATAACTGCAACAACAGCTATATGCAATGACACGACTTAAAGAGTAAAAAGCGATTCTGGACCAACTTTAGACATCCTACCCAGCAAATTAAACAAAAAATCATGGCAAATCATGGAGACCAGCTAAATGAAAAAAAAAATACATCTGAGCAGAAAATTGAAGTTTGAGGAAAAAGTGCAAGCATTTCTATAAGTGAGCATGTTATTTATATGGCAAAAGAAAAAGAAGCAAAATATTTTTTCACAAGAATAGCATCAATATACCTGGAAAAATGCAAACTGTCACCATTGATATAGACCATGTACTTCACCAAGAACTCAGTATCTTATTGGCATTATTGGGAAATTAAGAGAAAATATGGCACCATATATACGTGTGTTGATTGAATCTTAAATTTAGTCACAAAATTTTACTTTTACAGCCTCGATAATCTAGGTCACTAATAAATTTGGACACATTGTGTGACCACCAACAAAACTTACTTTTATACTGGACTAACTTTCTCATCCCATGCTTTAAGACAGTGGATTATTGTAAAAAAAGAAAAAAGATAATCATACAGATAACTGTTCAAGAAACCCTAGTAAGGAACTGACCTGAAGCAACCACAAAAGTTTATCTCATCAAACCCGTCATTACTACTTACAACATCCACAACACTATGCCAAATTCAGTCACCTATATTTTAGGGTCACTGCTTTTCCATCAGCCGAAATAAAATATCCTTTCACAACCATAATAAGATACTGAATCTGCATTTACCCACATGTCCACTAACTAATAGTGTTGAACAATGAATGATTAAAAAAAATACAAACAGGTTGAGAATACAATTCAGCAACCATACCCAAGAAAAACTAAATTATCAAAGTTATTCAGATGTTAGGGCATATCAGGGTCAAATTTTGCCTATCCTTTTCCTCTAAACATGTCATGGTTTGGATCAAAATATCATAGAGAAATTGGTGCACACAGCATTCTTTTTTAGTGGTTGTTAGTATTATTGTCATCTATCCAGAGGAACAAGCCCGGAAGCATGCCGCACATACACACACACAAACACTCCATTTGGCATAAGTAATTTGAAAAATCAATATCTAGCTCCAGGTCAAATTACCTTGAACATTTTTACAAATTTAATACCATTAAGAAGCAATTTACGAACATTATTCCACGTTCTTACAATAAGCCATCTGTAAAGAAGAGACCAGACCAAAAAAGTCCTGAAATACTCTTGAGAGGTGCAGACCATATAATTTCTGCTAACGACAGGACAGATTTTTGAGAGGGAGAGAGAGATAGATAGAGAGGTTAAACCTGCAAAACTTTGTTATCTTCATAAAAAGAAAACAGAGCAGCCGGACCAAAAGTTTATCACTGCACTTTACTAAATACATACAGAAACTCTACATCAGAATTCCTGGAGAACCAGGTTGAGCTTATTGTCAAACTAGCTTGTATAATTTCAATTTTTTCCCATCCCTCCCACAAGACACTTCTTCAGTAGTATCATTTTCAAATGAAAATAAAACTGTAAAACAAACTTAACCTATTATCCAACCCAAACTGAAGTATGTAAGAAAGCCATCTCTCCCTTGGGATTGAAAAGCAATCAGGATATAAACAGAGGCACAAAATTTGGTCTCCATAGCCACCATAGAGAGATGTAGAAACATAAGCTATTGAAAAAGGAAGAAAAATTAAAAGAAAGAGGAACTGATCCTTTAACACCACATACAATGTAAACTAAGGATAGGTTAGTATAACAAGCAACCACTCAATTCACCATCAATAAATAAACCCATATAGTCTTAAAACTTAGTCATACACATTCAAGCAATTAAATAGAAGTTAGAACTACATTTTGAACAAAGCTCCTCCAATATCAAGCTCTCAAAAAATTAGATGTGCACACAAAAACAACTCAGTAGAATCAATTTCCTACTAGACCAATTGTCACCAAACCGTGCAGGAAAAAAAAATCAAAGTCAATTCAAAAGTAAAACTGGAGGTACTATGATTCTAGACGCACACCAAAACATGATCTATAATCATGAACAATAGGGAGTTCTGAATCTTCAAAACAAACAAAACTGAATCTGAAAGACATTATTACAAAACACATTGGGATTAAGAAGAACCTTGAACTAGCAGTCCGCTGTTCAGCAATGGCCTTTCTTCGACTACGGCGCCAAAATGAAGTTGCAATGTTGGGTTCACTATGTGATAAACTGACGGATTCAAAAAGTTATTCAATAACAAATAACTTACAGTCTCCCGAACTTTCGAAAAATCCAGAAAATGCCCAATAATAGGATGAAGTTAATGAGAAGAATAATTGTAATAATAAAAAAAGCGTACAGAATGGGAAGGTCATAACAAGTCATTCAAGAATTAAACTTGAACTTGTCAAGACAGGAAATATAAATTACCTCAGTTTTCTTTCAATGGAAGTGATAGGTCGCAACATCATATTTCGCAATGAAGGACCTTGCACATTCGAGGGCACATCAAATCTCCCTCGGAACTGAAGGCTCTCATCTCTTTCAGCACTGCAACAGAAGAAATTTAAAATAACTCAGTTTTCTTTGTAATGCATGCTTGCAACAAGAATATGAAGCATCACAGCTTCCAAATTTCCAAGTTCAATAAAAATGTAGGATTTACAAACCCCATCCGCTAACCTGTCAGGATCCATTCTCTCTGAAAATCCATATAGGGGACTGTTTGGTTCTAGTGGTGAATCACAGGAATCATTTTCTGCAGAATCACTCTCCCCTGCTGCAGAAATATGGGTCATAAAGATTGCCTTGGTTGATCGGGGAAACAGCTTGCCAGGGATCCGCATTAGGTCGACCAATAGTTCAACAGAGTTCAACACAACTATCACAGACATATGCTTATATGAATCTACACACTCAACAGCCCCATCAATGGAAAGACCCTGATAGAAAAGAAAAAAAGGAGGAAAAGAGACAGCCTTTCAAATTTCAGTGCTACATGTGATTAAGGAGTAATAACTTATAACATGTATTTGACAATTTCCTTATTCTTTTGTTGGAAATCATACAATGTCCATGGAAACGAAAAGCTTACCACCACTAGCCTACTTTCAAGACCTACAGTATCTGCTAGAACTTTGAATAGGATTGCTCTAGGACGGCATGAACCATGCTTTATTTGCCCCAAAAGTTGGACTCCTCGATTATCAAACATGTGGGAGGTTTCTTCTAGTGCAGCTTTTGCTGGACTTTCCACAGGTGGCCGCTTATAAAAATCTGAAACCTGTATAGGCATTGCAGACGAAGTTAAATCATCTCTTAATATTAATAATTTAAACATGTATTAAAGCATCTGACCAGAATCAGGTAACAGATCTACATGGCATCATGCTCATGACTCATCTTGGTTATGATCACAGAAACATGAATAGTACAACATTGTAAGTGGCAGTCTTTGACAGTTGAAAACATTGGACGAAAGGCAGCAAAGAAGCAAACAGAAAAAATAAGTGCACCCAAGGTAACTTCAAAGTACATCTAGAAAAACAAGTAAATTTCTCACCAGTCCAGCAATCTTTTTTATCATTGCAGCTGGATTTGAGTTCAATCCTTTCACTAGTGCCACAATCAGTTGCTTCAGCATGGACAACTTTTTGTCTTTTGAAGTATCTACAAGAATGACATCAGCTTTCACACCCTCTGCCTCAATTGCATGAAGTTCATCAAGAGTAGGAATATCATCAAAGATCTCCTTGAGCCTTTTATCCTGTATATTGTCAGATTTAATCAATTGACACGATGAAGCATCACTCATAGACAGGTAAAAAAGAAAAAAATATAAGCAAAGACAATAATAATTTAAATACGCCATCCCAATAACAACACCTACTCAGTGATACATTGACAATGCTTCACTTATCTGCATTGGTACATCTATTCTTTGAACAAGCAAGTGATCCACGTTAGGTGTTTATCGTTTTTAGGATAGTGAAAAAAAGAAACAATCAGACTGTTTTCTCAAAATTGTTTAAAGAAGGAAAGAAAAACAAGGGTGCACCATTTTCTTTACAGTGACATTCATCTCTTAGACACACAGGTTCCAACCATAATCAGGCCAGATGTGACAGGAAGCAACAGTAACAACAGCTATTAATTATCAACACTAAGAAAATAACAACTAAGTACCACCAACAATTAATTCTCACCGGAATGACAGAATAGAAACCATTGGGAATCGGTTCCAAAAGCATTCCAGTTTGCCATAGAACTTGTGATGCTGTCTGAGATGACAACACGTCTTGGTACGGACTTCTAGGTGATTCAATATTACTCAAGGTTTCTTCATGGGAACCCAAAGAAACAGATCCAAATTTGTCCACGAAATCTGAAGGCCACCATGAAGCATTTGGAGGCCCTTGCTCTGCTGGCCCTGCATCATCTCGTGTCTCCTCCATGTATTTAAATATCCGAAATTCAAAACCATTTCTCCCCCACTTCTTACCCCATAAAAGATGACTTCAACCTAACAGCATTCCTTACAAAACACAATTCCACAGATTTCTTCAGGCTGGAGGCCATAAGACCTGAAAAATAGACAAAAGGTCAAAATTTGACATCAAAGAAAAGACAATTTAGAAGGGGAATATCATTGACAACTATAGAATGGCAGGACAGTCTTCTGAAAATAACACCAAATTAGAGCAGAATAACCAAGAAAAAGAAAACAGAAATCCCGTTGAAGTAAGAGTTTGTCAAAAGTATGTAAAAGTGCAAAAACTTAAAAGGAAAAATATATTGCCCTGAATATGGTATAGTAAGGGGAACAACACATAACAGCTAAAACAAAGGATAAGTAATCTTCAAACCCATTGTTCAGTCTTGCCCTCCTTATAAATATAGTTGGTGAATCAACAAAGATATTAGACATCTCTTTGAAATTAAACTGCTTGATATCACTTTTTAAAAGAAAAATGCGAAACAAAACAACTAGACAGCTTTCTCTAAATTATGTCTCGTGATATTTGTATTGCTCCATCAATCACCAAAGACATTATGGCTTTCTTTCTGAATTAATGATGATACATTTGTTAATTAAAACAACAAATAATGGAAAAGTGTAATGTATTTGAGGAGAAAAGGACCTTTGTGTCAAGCATAAGACTTTACATATGCCCTTAACCTTAGTTCTAATGTTAATACGTAACACATTCTTCTTACAATATCATCTGTTTTGCATTACTGTTTTCTTTTTTTTGAGCTTCATATCCTGTCTTTCATTGGAACTTGATAAGGAAATGTGTAATGTACTTTATTTCGAACAAGTTCAAAGGATATGTAATTTACCTTCCTATAGATGGTTATAGTACAATTTAAATGATACATGGCTGTTAGAATGACATTGTACTCTTATTTATATGCCCTTGCTGCTCACACATCTCGAAAATATCAGAGATTAAAAAATTTGGAAAACTTGTTTGCATGAGAGAAGTGTTGACAGTTTGGGGGAGCTAATGGAATGAGATAACATGGGAAGATAGTAGAAAGCTGATAAGCTATAATGGTTACTTTAAATTGGCAAATTTTCCTTAAATAGGCGGTGTATCATGGGATTTTCATTTTATTTTTAAGTTTCCATACTTCTTTACACTATTTATGGACATCCAATATGACAACCAGCCAAACGGGAAAGTCCAGTTTTATAATTTCCTATTCAACTAACTATTCTATCACCTAATATTTTAGCAAATATGGGAAGTACCAAAGTGACCCCGACTCTCGAGGAATACATGAGTGAAAATAACCAACCAATAGCACATTCCAAACATACCTTCTAGGGTTTTTATTTTATTTAACTGAAAGAAATATGCATCACTAAACACTTTAATAAGTCACACCCACTCGAAAGTAATACACTAGAGTGCAATTGAAACCTCAATCATGTATCAATAGCAAAAGATAATCCCCTCAGTTTTAGACATTCATAGAATAACGATGCTTTTTTCCTTTTTCTATACCTCATGTCCTGCCCATTGCCACCAAACAAGTGCATACTGAGAGACAAAAATATCACGAGAAACCCATGTCATGCTTGCAAAGCCAACCTTATAACTGCCTCCTCAAAAACAGTTTTCTTCTTACATCCCAACCCACAAAACCTCAGCACACAAACACTCAGATTGTTTTTGTCAGCACCACTCTCTATTAAGTAAAGACCTTTCTGATCACCACCATATCCGCAAACTTCAACCAACATCCCTCCCCAAAAAGAAAAGATAAAGAACCTACAATCTCAAGCTTAGTCTACCACCTGCTCCAAATTCATATCACATGAAGAGGTAAGTTTACGCATTGGACTAGTTCAGAAATAGCTAATTACACAATGCTCCTCCTTAGTCACTTCAAATCGCCAATACAGTTACACTTGAGCCCCACATTTCTATGCAAATCTAAATCAAGCTCCCACTAATCCATGAAAACTCAATTCCACATCGCACAAACACTTAAATTAACCATTTACATAAAACCAATGCAGGATCAATAAAAACAAGAAAAATTACAACAAAATTAAAAACAAAGCAAAAATTTACCACCAGCAGATCCAAGCATTTGAATTCCAATCCCCTTTTTGTTGCAGTAACATTTGAATCTCAATTCTTCCTCATCTAAAGCCTCATCCCCTACGTCAAACCCTCGCAGATTCCAGAGAGAAACAACCAAATTTGTGTGTCTATATAGACGTATACAAATACGTATACATAGAGAGAGGACGACAGAGAGTGATGTGAGAGAGATGAAATATGGTAGAGAAACCTCTCCACGCTATATATATATATAGAGAGAGAGAGAGAGAGAGAGAGAGAGAGAGTATGAGTGCGTGATGCAAACGAGGAAGAAATGAACGAGAGCGAGCGAGAGAGAAAGAGAGAGAAGAAAGCGATGGGGTTTTAGAGAGAGAGAGAGTGTGTGTGAGGTGGTAAGTCACGTGCAGAGCGAGGGGGGATCTGGGGACCTCTCCCCGACAGCCAGCTGGCAGAGAGGGTCGCTCACCAACATCCACACACCTTCATCCGCGTGAAAGACCCTTTTCTCGTTTAAATCTCTAATCTTTCACAAATTAATATTTAAAAATAAAGAATTCAAACCAATTAATTATTTAATTAATGCAGAGAAAGAAATAATAATAATAATAATAATAAAAGTAAGTGTGAAAGTGGTACAAGATGTAAATGGACAAACAACAACCACAACCAAACACCACCACCTGTCTTTTAGTACCAAGAGTACACCTTTGGTGGACCAAATCAGTCAATACTTAATAGCCCTATGGGGCTTTTAGCCTATGCTTGCTTAGCCTAACTTCAAACTTCAAACTTCAAACTTCCAAACTTCAAACTTCAATCTTCTAGGTCTTTTCCCACGTGCCTTTTTTTGATTAGGTCAAGTTGGTGATGATATTCAACTATCTTAGTCTGTTGCTAGTCTTGCAAATTTTTACTCTTTCCACTTTGATATTTATTCTCCTACCACAAGTGACAAAGCTAGCTCTAAGTTCACCCATCATTGTCCAAATCTTTTCACCGACTATATTTTATATGTTAATCAATACATATATCAAGAGTTTTACCTCTCATCACCATTAGCGTATAGATGCAGTGTTCAGATTGAGGCGACATGGGTGGTTCGCTGCCTGCGACGTTGAGAGAAGTCCATTGAACTTTAGCATTTAGAGGAAGGAGAACTCGTAATAAGATAAACTTGCGGTCAAAATCTGTCTAGTAAAATGACCCGAACCATTTTCAGCGTAAGCAACTATCAATTGTTGATACGTTGTGCAGGAGTAAATGTTACACATAGCATTCATGCATGTGGTACATAGACAAATTTTGCCCATAGTGTTGTTCTTGAGCGAATATCAAATGTTTATATATATAATGAGAATCTATATTGTGGAGTTCATGAACATTAATAACTATTAGTTCACAAATGTTTGCATGTTTATTAGCTTTCAACTATATGTAAATTTTCGTATTAGTTAATTTTGTATTAATTGTGGTGTGAATGTGTGACAATTTTGGTATTAATGAATTGTTTTCTTATTAAAAGATATTCTTGTCATTTTAAATGAGGTTTAATAATTGACTTGGCAACGTTCATGGACTTGGCAACTGATGAACATTCCTACTCTGAAGATCTTTCTTCTAAAATTTCTTCAAGGTAAAAGGCCAATCTTGGTCTCTCCTGCTTGTCAGTTGGGGTTCTGGATCAAGAAACTAGGAGATGGCTTTTGGGGTTTCACGATCACTCTTATTTACTTTGTGTTGCTCATGTGGTTTGCTCGTTTTGGTGTTTCATTGGTTAGACCCATTTCATGCTGAACAATTTTCGCCCTATACAAAGGACTATGTTTACATAGGAGGCCTTCTTTGATAGAACCTGAGAGGCATTGGTGTGCTCGTTTGATGGGCTTCTCTTAGCTTCAGTTTGTTATTTGTGTTTTGTTCATGTGGTTTGTTCGTTTGGTGCTCCATTCGTTCTGACCCATTGCTTGCTGGACAAATCTCACAATGTACAAAGGACTATGTTTACATAAGAAGCCTTCTTTGATAGAACATGGGAGGCGTTGGTGTGCTTTTTCGATTGGTTTCTCTTAGTTTATGTGTGTTGGTATAGAGTTGTTTTAGAGGTGATTGTTCTATGTTTGTGCTTTTGTCTGGACTCTTTTGTTAGTCTAGTGCATATGTGGTACTCTTTCCTTGCTCAGGGTTTTCCCACGTGGTTTTCCTCATAAGGTTTTAATGAGGGCGCTGTTAACATACTAGTTCCTTTGTATTGTTCTTGGGATATTAATGGAATTTATCTTCCTTTCCAAAAAAAAAAAAACAATTGACTTATTCTTTACTGTGAGATAATTCAATTTTGATAGTTTGAGCTACTGATAATGAGATAAAAATAAATGATGTGGCAAAAGATATACACTGCCATGTCACATGGCACATTAATTAGTATATCAAAATGTTGGTGAACTTGTTGGTATCCGCATCATTACTAATTGGTTTATTATTTATTATGAGATAACTCAAATTTGACAAATTGGGTTATTGATAATGAAATATGTCAAATGAAGATTAGATTTGACATGTGAATGGATGGATATGTTACACATGGAGAAGATTTGGCTTTAGTAAATGTCAATTGATAGCCTCAGCCCAACTTCAAACTTTCAAGGCAATTCCCCTTGAGCTTTCAGGTTAACCTATCTAAAGTTTAATAAATAGCTACAATCCAAACTTCAAGTGGTACGTAATTCAATTATTTTATCTTCTTTTACTTCTCCTTTCACCTTAAAAAACGCACATTGTGATAATGAGTACTCTAGAGAAAACTAAGTTATAATGTCTTGGAAGAGGTATTATGCAGACCTTGAAACTTTAGTAGGATGCGACTCTTATAACAAACTTTTGAGTGTCTTCATTAATTTTCCATGTAAGAACACTTCATTTAGTTAGAAAGCTAACATTATTTGGGCATTTGTGACAAATTCATATTCAAGGGTGGAGTTATAAATTTTCACAGGACTGGCTATATTTTCTTTCATTATGTATAACTTGTATAAGGAGTTGTTCGATTGCAGTGGACCAATTTTTGCAAGGGTGGGGTAGGCTAATTTTCGCTTGGTAAGATGAATTTCCTAAAATTACCACCAAATTGTTATATTTCCAAAAACTTAGTCTAAGAGTGAATACGTCCTTGCCCATATTGAATGTACTTATTGTAAGCACTTTTCATTGAATACCCAAGTTCATAAATAGTTCAAATTGTTTGATTTCTATAATAATCCAAGAAAACTATTTAATTTTGTTTTATAGAAAAATTAGATAAATTGTGTGTTGTATGTTTGTTTGAGAGGAAGAGAGAAAGAGGGGAGAGGTGGCTTGAGTGAAATTGAAAAGATTGGTTATCCGGTTATTTTTTAATTATAGTTTAGCAAATGGGAAAGTTTACTTTAAAATGGCTATTGGTTTCATGCTTAAAAAAATATTTTCCTTATATACTTAAATACGATAAAAGTGATTTTAATTGAAAATGAAAACATATAAGGTTTTTTACTACTTCGAAAGTTTATCAAGTTTCAACCTTTACTACGTAAACCTTTTTTTTTTTGTCAACTTCATACTCGAAGTTTGGTTTTCCTATAAATTTCATGCATTCATTTTTCTACAAATTTCATGCATAGCCATCGTCATCGTCGCACAGTTGATTGATGTTCGAGAACCCGAAGAAGTGTATGTTCTAATATTTTACTTCTGCTTGTCTACAAATTTTTCTTTTGATGGATATTCTGATTTCAAATTCTTGAATGAACTTTTAGTAGTGGGTTTATCTCTATATATATGATCATATTTAATTTTTGTGCTTTCTATCGTACTCAACTTAGGGTTTTGATCCATACCTAGTGTTTGTGCAAATAATCTTACGAGAGAATATTCGCTTCTAGATCCTTCACCCTTTGATCTTCCTTCTCTCTCTTCCTCGATTCCTGTAAAAAAGACCAGAGTAAATAGACCACACCCGGGGGGTGTTGACCAAAGGCCCTCCGATGCCTAAGTTAGTTCAATTGAATCTAGGTGAAACAATAGCTAAAAGGGGTACGGAGATTTCTCTAGGGTGAGAACCGGGTTGCCGGAGCCGTGTGGAGAAAATATAGAGAGTAGAGAGTGGAGAGGGAGAGAGCTTCAGGTATTTTTCTCGGGTTTTGGAGCTAGGTTTTGAAGTAGGTTTTTTGAAGTACCTTGAATGATGAATGAAGTCATCTATTTACTGGAGCCTCAGGGCTAGGGTTTCGTAGAGAATAAACTCTTATTAGGAGGAGTTTATTCTTTACCCAAATTTGTAGAGATTGAGTCGGACTTAATTATATCTCTTTATTAGGATAATATCTAAATTAATGATATTATCTCATTAATTATAAGATAACATCATATAATTAATATATTACCCCTATTAATTAATTGGTTCAATTAATTAATTTAAGGGATAATCTTCTTTTCCACGTGGCGTGTTGTGATTGAAGACGAAAATATTTGCTCCCACACCTAGGATTAGTACGTCTTTACCATTTGGTTTAACAAGTGCTGTGTTGTTAAACTAGGAGCTCTGGTTGCCCAAGTAAGGACTTGGTTTTGACAGCCAAAGTAATCGATGGATTTGGTACAACAAAGATTGACATTACAACACAAAGTCTAATCCTTTGATATTTATAAAATAATAAAATAAAATTGTGTAATCCTAATAAACCAGAAAATTTTGGTATATGATGTGTTGTATCATAAAAGAGCTTTGAACTGGAGGGATATTGGGAATACTTAAAAGAAATCAAGAATGAAATAAGTTATAACATTCGTTTTTCTCTTGACCGGATAAGGCTGTGGTCCAGTCTGTGTGTAATGTTCTTTATTGTTGGAATCATCGTTTTAGAAGACATTCTTACAGTGATGTTTGGAATCTGACCCTTTTGTGTGCTATGTTGTGTTTATGGTGGGAGAGTGGGAGATAAATGCTAGGACTTTTTACGATGTTGAAGTTTCACCTTCAAAACTCAATTTCTTTTCTATTTGTTGTCTATATGAGTTGTGGGTGTCTTAATTCTTTTTATATCCTATGTTGATAATTTATTAGGTCAAGTTATATTTAGATTACAACTCTTTCTTTTTTGCCAAATATCATATTTCTCTTTGCTTGCCAAATATCTGATTCTCCAACTTCAACCTCCATTGATTCAAACATGCTCCTCTCAGTGCCAACGATGGATGAAGTTAACTCAGTACCAACAATGGATGAAGCTAACTCAGTGCCAACGATGGTGAGTTCTTCTAATTTATTTAATGTTCATGATGAGGT